ATAGATCGATAGATTAAGAGTTGTTCGAGTTAGGTGTTCGACCAACTCAAAAAAAGTGGTTTCGAGAAAAACGCGTTTAAAGTTTTAAGTACTGTGGGATATACCTGTGAGGCATCGGCGCAGAATGAAAAATTTCGACACTTAGACACTTTTGCCGGACTCTATCTTTTGATATGTCATTTTTAAGACCCTAAAGAATTTTTTAAGCGAAAAAAAAAAATTTCGATTTTTTCAAAATTCTACTCAGATGTCCCCCCTTAAGTGATCAGTTGGAAAACCCAAAAACTTGTTTACTTAAAAGCAGCAAGTGGTTAACAGAGTCAAATGGTTTATTAAAGTCAGTGTTAATATCATCTGTTTGTAAGCCGAGTGGCTCCGGAATCCATTCGTTACAAATGAAATTTGCTCCAACCAGTTGGTGGTTGGAGGAATGTCGCTTTATGAAAACATATAGAAAATAATCATTGTTTTATGATCGAAAAAAAAACTGAAAATAATCATTATTGTCTTATAAAAAAATAAAAATCATTAATAATCATTATTTTTGATGTTTTCGCTCAAAAATATCACTCAATTCATGATTTCGCGCTATGCGGGTTCCTATGAGGGGAAGATTTTTTAGTTCTTATTGAAATTTGAAGAGCATACCATTTTTTAATTTTGGATTAAAGAAAAAGTCCAAAAACATTTTATTGAACTGGTTAAAGTTATTTAAGCTTTTTATTTTAACTTATTAGGAGCTTTGAGTATCATTTTTTGAAAAAGTCTTGGCCATCTATAATTATAAATTATAATGATTTTCAGATTTTTTTGTATCAAAGAGTAATGAATTTTTCTGATTTTTATTCGTCAATTATTCCTGATGTTGTACCCTGAACCCTGAAGGGATGTACCCTGAATGCTATATGTTTACGTTTATTGTTTAAAAAGTTATAAAACTGCTTTGGATCCTGGGCAAACTAAATCCGGCAGAGACGAATAATACTTTTATAACATTCCGCTTTGTGCATGTTGAAATTAAATCGAACTTAAGTACTTAGTACCTTAAGTAACTAATTGTACAGCCAGTTTCTTTTATGTTTATTTAAAAGTCTAATTTTAATGTTCACTAAACTGAATACATGCCTTATTTATCAAGACGGATTTGGTAAAACGGACTTAAGGCGTACAGGCGATATGTTTGTAAGGCGATATTTATTTTCGCAAGCCAGTAGATCGGTCAAAAATAAGCCAGAAACGAAATTCAAAAATAAAATTATTGTGATCGAGACAGTGAGGGAGGGTTAGAAAATGCAAATCAACATTCAACTGCAAACAATGTATTGGGAAGACTCTTCTTTTTTTGTTGCACCTGCAAGGTACGCCCCACGCCATTGAAACCATCACTCAAATTGTATGAGTATTAGGATCGCACACGGATCGAAAAACGGAGATTTCTAGTCATGTCGACAAATTTAAGGCTCCGCAAAAAATTGTATGTGCACAAGGCACTGAAAATTCAACACAATCACATGTGTTGTAGGGGGTCGTTGTTGCCGCAAAAGACTCCAGGAGTAAGGATTAAATGAGAAGTCGGGGGCGTCTTTGGTAAAATCAAAACAACTCGTTCAGCTTTATTTGGCTGCTTACATGGTACTAAACTTAACTTAGAAAGCATAAACGCTAAACGTAAATATAAACCAAAGCGAACGATCGACGACGGTTCCAGCAGTGAAACCCGCTGGAACAAGCGGGTTTCATTGCTGGAACCGTCCGTTAATTCAAGCGGGTTTCATTGCTGGAACCGTTTCATAAATTTTTATTCTTTTAATATGTTTTCCTACATTTATAATCCAATAAAAATAATATACAAAATTGTAAAATAACCTTAACATCGTCTCAGTTCGTAGTGGAACCCGCTGTAAAAATGTCTATAAGTGCGGGTTCTACGGCATTTTGGCAGGCCGCAAAATAATGAATAATGAAAGCATTTGAGAGCGGGTTCCATGACAAACGGCTAGCAGATGAGAGACGGAAAGAGAGAATTCTATTTTTAGATCGTAACATCTTTGGAACGATGAAAGTTTGAAACGTTGTAATCGAACCAATGTAAGAGTAAAGAGATCAGAAATATCTTTTACTATCCTTACTCGTCAGCTCTGTTTTTGTTATGGATTCTAGCGCCAAATTTAAGTATCATAAAATCAACTTCGAGTGTAGCCTATATGAATATGGGCTATTAATATATTATTCATGGGGTCCTGGGTTCGATTTCATTAGCGGGCGGTTGTTTTGATTTTGATAAAGTTTTAGTTTTATGATTATTTTTATATTTACTTTTATTTTGTTATTAATTTTTTTTTTTTACTTTTAATTTTTACGTTATTATTATTATTTTTAATTGCATTCTATTACAATTGTTGTAAAAATAAGTGACGGACGTGTCGGATGACAAAATGCCGGAAGGACTCCCTTGAAATTTTATTAGCGGAATAATGAAGAATAAGACAATTAACCAATTAACCAATGCCAACTGTTTCAGTAAAAGTAGAAGCAATTTTAGGTCAGCAGCAGAAACATCTCATATACGTGTGTGACTTCCAGCATAGGCAGGGGCAATTACAATAACAATTTTTCGTGTTTTCCCAATTCTCCTCAATCGTGCTAATCCGAATGCATTTGGTTGTTGGAGTGCCGAAAACTTTTCATTGCAGGAAATTCATTCTTATTTTTGTTTCTGCCAAAATGGTCGACCTAAAGCGATACATTTCTTCTTCGTAGAAAATTTTTTTTTAAGTAAGAAGCTCTGCATTATTTGTCTTAGTATAATAATAATCTGTTGTAAAATGGAGGGTCTTTTTTTAATTGCTATGTATTTTTAATTGGTAATTTTAATTGCCATGTATTGTAAAATGTATTTTTTATTATATTGATTTTTTTTAAGCCAATTGTGAATGTTACTATAATTTTATTTTTTAGTGCATCCACTTGGATGGGAAAACAAAATTCTCGCACTAATGTATTGGTGAATTTATGAATTGGTATTGGACTTTGCTCTGCTGTATGCTGAGCTTGGAACTCCTGCTTTAAAACTTTTTCTTCACTGTACTCGGCTGACAAGTCATCAAGCTTAAAATAGAATCCATGAAAAGATGTGTTCTAACTTAAAAAACAACAAATCAATGACATTTCCGATAAGATTCAGGGTGCACCTTCTCGAGCTTCGGTATATAATAATAATATATATATAAATATAATATAGTTAATAATTTTTGAAAAAAAAAAATAATGAAAAGTCTTTTATGGTTATTTAGATTGATACTTTACAACTTATTTGAACGTCCTTTTTCAAGCATTTCCCAGCATTTTGAAAGAGTCTAGAAAACTTCTGGTTTCAAAAAGATTGAAGCCCATGTCACACAGCAAACGGATCAATGAAGTTTTTCCAGCTAAAGCTTCCTGGATGCGTTGCTTCAAAATAAGGCCGCGTTCGGCGGATTTGACTTCCCCAGACTTCTTTCTGTGGGGTTTTCTGAAAGCCATGTTTACACGAGCTAGCACAAGACCATCACAGAGCTCAAAAAGAGTAATCGCACCGAAATGTCATGAAGAAAGAAACTCATGAAAGTCAGTAAAATTCTCGAAAAAGAAAACTTTTTGTCATCAATATGAAATCAATTTTTGTCATATTGTATTCAAACAAGAAAGTAAAACTAACTTCGGGTGGAACCGAAGTTGATACACCCTTGGAGTTAAAAGCGGATACATATCGCAACATCGGATAAAGGTTGCCGGTCCTTATGAGAATATCATCATAAAACCAATTAATTACAATAAAATATATTAAAAAAACAAGAAAGAAAAGCTAACTTCGGGCGGAACCGAAGTTGATATACCCTTGCAGCTAAAACCGGATATTTATTGCAAACATCGGATATAGTTGGCCGATCTTTATGATTACGTCATAATAAAACCCATTAATTACAATAAAAAATCTAAAAAAAAAAAGTCCCAAGCTTCTATCTTCAAAAATACGAAAGTTGATATTTCTACCAAGTACCATTACCGATCGTTCAGATATATATATAGGATATAGTCAGCCGATCCTAATGAAATATGGTAGGTTGGATCAACTGACCAAAAATAGAATCTGTACTAAGTTTCAGCTTTCTAACTTCAAAAACACTAAAGTTGGGTCATTTCCGATCGTTCAGTTATATGGCAGCTATAGGATATAGTCGGCCGATCCTTATGAAATTTGGCATGTCGTAATGTGTTGCCAAATATAGCTCCCGTGTCAAATTTGAATTAACTCTAAAAACATCAAAACTCTCTAACTCTAAAAACACCAAAGTTATACCATTTCCGATCAATCAGTTATATGGCAGCTATAGGATATAGTCGGCCGATCCCGGTCGTTCCGACTTATATACTGCGTGAAAAGGAAAGAAGGGTGTGTGCAAAGTTTCAAGTCGATAGCTTTAAAACTGAGAGACTAGTTCGCGTAGAAACAGACAGACAGACGGACAGACGGACATGCTCATATCAACTCAGGAGGTGATCCTGATCAAGAATATATATACTTTATTGGGTCGGAGATGTCTCCCTCACTGCGTTGCACACTTTTGGACAAAATTATAATACCCTCTGCAAGAGTATAAAAATGACTCAAATGAGTTGTATCTAATTCTGTGCACGCGTGCATTGGGTCGGAAATTCTGCCACAGAGCTGCAAGCACACTAAAAGTGTTAGCACTGTGAGCACTTAATTACTGTTGCTAGAGAAGCTTTCTTTAATATAAAATTCACTATTTTACTGCCCATTCAAACTTTTGAATTAACGAAAAATGATGTGAAAAACTTTGTTTTTTTTGCTTAGTGAATGCTCTGCTCTCTTTGCTTTTTTCTGCCTACGCACTCAAAATTTAAACATGTCTGCGTTTTGCCCGCCACTGATCTAATTAAACATAACATATTTTCCATGAATTGTTTTTTTCCAAAGTTTTTAGATATTTTCATACCGAAGCTCGAGATGGATTCCGTCAGTTCACATATATAGATAATCCATGCAGAAAAAACAAGGGTGTGTGCAAAAGTCGATAGCCTGGTTGGTAGATCAAAATACCCTACCTAAATCAGATTTTATAAATTACTTTTTTTTGTGACTATAATTAATTTGTATAATATACATAAACCATAATATAATACAAATAAATATACAAGCAGTGATTCCCACAGCTTGTTGACGTTGTTACAAAATTTGTGAAATATAAACATACGTACCATTGTCGTTCTGATCTTCATTAGATTCAAAGTTTAAGCACTCTTTAGAACCTAATGTAGCAACATCTTTATGAAGGATTGTAGAAAAAAAATCCAAATCGTAATTGCACTTCTTCAATATATCAGCACGGCCAATTTTTTTTAAAATTTCAGTTAATTTGTTCAAATTGAAACAATCTGCTTGTTGTAACCATTCCTTGAGTATGGCCATAATGATCAGGGTATTGCCGTCACTACAACAATCAGCTTTGACCATGTCGATATCGGTTTCGGGTACACCCAACTCATTTGCTAGCTGCGGCCAGTCACTACCTAAATTTGTACAAAAGTTAAACAATTTTATATCAGCGGCCTTGAGCACGTTTTCATTTTCAAAATGATTCGACAATTTTTTAAATCCTGAATTATCATATTTTGTGACAAAGGTTTTTGTATTAACGGTATGCGGTGCGCTTTTGCTTAATTCCGTACAGTTTTTAACTCCTCTTTTTACTTTTAAACCACTGTCTATGCTCAAAAATGTATCTTTTTGCATTATGCTTTCCATACTTTCCATATCAATTGAGATATTTAAGACACAAAGAGGATTGAGTGGCGATTCTCCAAGAGGTACCTTTGGTTCGCCCATGAAACTTATGCGACCATGTGGCTGCTCTGAATCTTTTATGTGTACAACAAACGAAAGTCGATTTTCACAAAATGCTTGAAATCTCATATTTAGTTGTTCGTCTGACTTCAATACGGGAACTAGGTTGCCAGAAAATTCCAAATAAATGGTTTGATCCTGCAGTATTTCGATATCTCTGCTCTTTGCCATTTCGCGAAAATATTCTTGTTGTTCTAATGTTTTGTCTTCTTTATCATCTGTCATGCAAAAAATAGAAATCTTGGCTTCCGTATCTGAAATTCGTTTACCAAATACTAAAAATTTTACAAAAAAAGGTACTCTTGCCAAATGAGTATATAGATCGGTGGCCATTCGTCCCGCGTCCACAATATTCCGACAATCCATTAACCAAAAACGGGCGGACACAGTAGTTGTAAAAGTAATACTATCTTGAGAAATTGAAAGGGGTGTTGATCCAGTAACATCTTCCCATGCCGCACGTGTTTGACCGCCGGTGATAGAGCATAAAAGCCTAAGAGTAGATGGATTGGCTTTCCCATTGCCATAATATTCATTAACCATACCCTTCATAGAAGCTTTAGGGGCAGGGATGCTTAGTGTTATTGCCTTATGAAACTTTCGTCTTCGGGGCTCTACGGTGACAACCGGTGATACAGCAACTCCTTGGCCAAGCAGCTTAGAGCATCCAACCAGATCTACTGACTGTGCCTGAAGACCGACTCGAATTTTTTTAGTCAAGGCATGCGGTGGAAATAAAGCTTGAACTTGCGGTATTGCTCTAGAAGAAATATTTCCACCATCGGGTCCAATAGCGTGGACGTCTTGACGGATACGAGAAACAACGGCAAAAAAATGTGGAACATTTTGTGTAACTATGCGGACAATGCGATTTGAAGTAAATTCATTTATTTGAGTAATGGGCTTATTCGTTCCATTATTAGAAGTATTAATATCTTCGCCGCTCTCAAATAAGTTATGCTCCCTCCAACACTCTCCATTGTCTGAACGAAGAATAATAATTTCACGCTCATTGTCCCTTAAATTACCAAAATGAGGAACTTCTAATGTTATTGGACTAAAAAAAAAAATATAATTTTATTAAACTTTATATTTAAACCATTATTATATCAATCGCTTAGGTACCTTAAAAAAACTCTTTCGACGGGTGATAATTCCAAAATTCGACTAACCAATGCCTCACCCTCCATTAAAGGCGGGGGATTTACAACTCTTTGAGGTTTCACGTAACGACATGTTATTCGCGTCGGTTCAGCACAAGCCTTCGGAGGTACTATTACCCGCACACCGCTATGACGATAACCGCGCATTGATCCACCACGTGCATCTACCAAAAATGACACCAGAAATCTGAAAAAAAACGAAAATATTTTTTTTCCCAACGTATGTCTATTTATTAGTACTTTCATTTTAAGCCATACCCTAAATGTATCGGAGGCCGTAAAATTAAACCATTATCTATTTTTAGTCCCATGAGCGATGTATGTATTGGCTGGGAGTCCTTATCTTGGGTTTCTTTAAATATATATAAACAGAATGTATTTGGATCAATATATTGCATGAAGTTACATATATAAGGTTGTCAAAAAAGTCTTGCGGTATTGTTATTGAATTTCGAATTGTTCATAAGATTGGTTTTAATATTGCGATTTTAGTAAAATATGCGCCGTTCTGTTCGATGACGAGGTCTCAACGAGATGCCAACTTCATAATGCTCCTATTATAGAAGTTCGCTTCCCTATTGGCAAAAAAAACTCGGAGAGCCAATTTCTTGTGGACTCTCAATAACCGACTACCAAGCTAGTTTGCCACGGACTTATTAATCTAATTGTTGTCTTTTTTTAATTAATCAAATTTTGTTTTAAGTGCTTTTGAGTTCTAGGTTTTTGACGCTTTTGCATTATTTTTTTCTTTTTGTATACGAGGGTAGGCTGATAAAAAGTCGGCCTTACAAAGAAAACATTTTTTAAAAACTCGTAAATATTTTATTCGATTAGTGATTTCTATTAGTTGATTACTGTGAAAGTTTCATGCGGTTTTATCAACACTGGTAATTTTGGCGAGACTTTCAGCGCATTAGCTTACGGCTCTACGCCGTATCTACAAGTCAAGGGGAACTGCTCCAAACAACACTTGCAATGTTTCCGTAGAGACAGTGCGACATACGAGCTTATTCTCCAACAATATAACACGCTACACACTGCAAACTTTTACTCTGAGGGCAACAGTCGAGGTCATCTCAATCCATATATGTGTTCACAAAACTCGGAGCAATTTCCCAACCGCACCGACCAACCGGGTTTTCAGACTAGCAAGGTGTGGTGTGAAGCATAACCGTTCCCCAACGGTCACGCCCAGGTACTTCAACTGTTTCACATACCTTATGCTAAAGCCGTCGATCCTGACAGTCGGAGGCCTAATGCCCCCGGGACCTCGACTGCCTTTCAGCAACATTGTCACAGTCTTGTCCAGTGCCTGACCAACACCCACACTGCTGCCCCACTGGTCAACAATGCGCAAGCACTCTGTGGCGCTTGCCTCAATCCTCGAACGCGACCTCTATCAAGATGAGCAAGTCGTCCGCATACGCACAACCCTTGCATACCTGCCCGAGCTGCCGCAGTAGGGGATCCATCATATAAATGTACCATAAATGGAGCCCTGTGGACAACCACGAGCCACATCGATACTTACAATATCATTCACCCCCATCACACATGCACTACGTCCCGAGAAATAACTCTTCCAAAGAGCTACGTCCCGACACCCACACTCATTCAACCTCTCAATCACCATAGCCCAACTCAGGTAATCAAAAACCCCTTAAAGTCCACAAACACGCCGAGAACGTAATTGCAGTTGCTGGATCTCACAGAGTTGTTATACCTTTGCAGAGGGTATTATAATTTTGGTCAAAAGTGTGCAACGCAGTGAAGGAGACATCTCCGACCCTATAAAGTATATATATTCTTGATCAGGATCACCTCATGAGTCGATATGAGCATGACCGTCTGTCTGTCTGCTTCTACGCGAACCCGTATCTCAGTTTTAAAGCTATCGTCTTGAAACTTTGCACACACCCTTCTTTCCCTTGCACGCAGTATATTAGTCGGAACGGCTCGGATCGGTCGACTATATCTTATAGCTGCCATAAGACTGAACGATCGAAAACGACCCAACTTTCGACCCAACTTTTTGAAGATAAAAAGCTGAAACTTGGTACAGATTCTATTTTTGGTCAGTTGATCCACCCTATCAAATTTCATTAGGATCGGCCGACTATATCCTATAGCTGCCACATAACTGAACGATCGGAAATGGTATTTGGTGGAAATATCAACTATATCAATATCAAATATCAACATTTTTATAGATGTTTCATTGTAATTAATTTGTTTTATCATGATGTAATCATAAGGATCTGCTAACTATATGCGATGCCCGAAGTTAGCTTTGCTTTCTTGTTTTAAAATAAAATACTCAATTTTAGTGCCCATTCCAACATTTGAATTGACGAAAAATGAAATAAAAAAATACGTTTTTTTCGCTCAGTGAATTCTCTGCTCTCATTGTTTTTCTCTGCTACGCACACACTCAAATTTTAAACATGTGTTAGTTTTGCCCACCACTGCACTAGAGAAACAGTGATGACACTCCTACATCGGGTTCAAGGGAATATTGAATTCATGTGAACGTATGTAACATGGAATCATCTCCGACCCCACAAAGTATACAAATTCTTAATCAGCAACAACAGACGAGTCGATATAGCCATGTCCGTCTGTTCATCTGTCCGTATAAACGCGTGGATCTCAGAGACTATAAGAAATAGAACTTTGACACTTTGGAAAATATAAGCGTGACCTTTTTAACTCTCACTTTAAATTCTAAAAGTAAAGAACTTTAAGAAAGAATTCTTAAAGAACTCTTTTTAAATTGTGTATTCTAATAATTTTGTATACCCTTGCAGAGGGTATTATTATTTTTGTGCAACGCATTGAAGGAAAAATCTCCGACCAGATAAAGTATGTATATTCTTGATCAGGATCATCTCCTGAGTTGATATAAGCATGTCCGTCTGTCTGTTTCTACGCAAACTACACTCTTAGTTTTAAAGCTATCGACTTGAAACTTTACACACACCCTCTACGAACGGCCGGGATCGAAAAACTATATCCTATAGCTTCCATATAACTTAACAATCGAAAATGACCCAAGTTGTTCGTGTTTTTGAAGACAGAAAAATGTAGCTTTTTACAGTTGACTCGTAGTATTTTTGACAGTTGATGAGACCTACCAAATTTCATAACGATCGGTCGACTATATCTTATCGCTGCTTTATAACTGAACGATCGGAAATGATATTTGGTAAAAATACCAACTTTTGGCATTTGAAGATTTTAGATAAGATTTTGTTTTGTAATGAATTGATTTTATTATGATATTGCCTTAGGTTCGGTAAACCATATCCGATGTTTTGCGATATATATCCGGCTTTAACTGCAAGGGTATATGAACTTCGGCTCCGCCCGAAGTTAGCTTCCGTTCGTTGCTTATAATAGTTTCATTTATACGAAATCAGTCTTCGATAAGCTCTTGTCGTGTGAGGTTGTCTTTAACGAGCTCGGAAATCGTTTACTATCTACCATACGCATAGAAATTCGCCGCGAACTTCTTATCAGCCATTAAAGTTACCTCATTCATTATTAAGCGCCGCAAACTGTTGACTGGCGATGCCTTAGCATCTGCCGAAACCAAAATGACAAAACAAAGAAAAAAAAATATCCAAGGGGAAAACCCCAATCCAAATCAACATACGAATTATTATCGCCCTCTTCAAACCATAGAAGACGATAACATTGATGCTATTGAAACTGATACAATAGATCAAGTGAATATCAAACCACCTCCCATTACCGTAATTAAACAAAACCCAAATCAAGTTCATGACATCATGTCCAAGCTAAAAATTGAAAAATATTACATAAAAAATATCTCTATTGGTTATAAAATATTCCTGGAAACAATGGATCACTTCGAGCTGGCCACAGCAAAGCTTAAGGAACTTAATTGGAAGTTCTATACATACGACACTAAAACAACTAAACCATATAAAGCTGTTCTATCTGGAATGGATAGACTCCCAGCAAAAACCGTTATGTCCATGCTTATTGAACTAGGCTTGAAATGCACAAACGTACAAATTGTTGAAAAAAAGACCAAATATGACTATGATCTGCTACTGTACATTGTTTATTTTATAAAAAAAAAGCATCACAGTAAAAGAACTACGAAACAATTACATGTACATCAATCACATGAAAGTACGATGGGACTATGAAGTCAAAATTGACAACAAAATAACACAATGTTACAACTGTCAATTATTTGGCCACGGTTTAAATAATTGTTCAGTTAATACTTCTTGTGCCCACTGTGCCGGACCTCACCCTACGGTTTCTTGTGAGAACCCAAGTAAAAATAAATGTGCCAACTGTAAGGGCAATCATCCATCCACTGATAAGACCTGCCCATGCCGTTTGTCTTATCTCAATTTGATCTCCAAGCGTTCGGCGAAGCGCATAAGAAAAACCAATATTGAACCAGAAAATCCAATACGGAGTAATCGCGATTCTCTCTTAAATCCAGAACAGCGCTCTTCAACAAATAATAATATAGGATTCTCTCAACACACCTTCGGCAGTTATAGAGATGCGCTCAAAGGCAAGGCAACTTTACCAAATGCAACTGAAACTGGCCTCTTTACGCCAGAAGAAGTAAACTCTTTATTAATAGACTTAATAAATAATCTCAGCACATGCTCCAATAAAGGAGAACAATTCCAAGTTATATCAAATTTAGCCATTAAATTCAAATGTGTATTCAAACAAGTAACTCTCCTGATACTTTAAATATTATGGCGTGGAACGCCCGCTCTATAAAGCATAAGCGTGTAGAATTTATTAAGTTTTTACAAGATAATAATATTCATGTAGCTACAATAAGTGAAACATGGCTTACTCAAACCGACAGATTTAACATACCAAACTATACTGTGTATAGACGAGACAGAAAAGAAAATAGAGGTGGGGGTTGCCATGGTCGTTAGCAATAAAATAGAACACGAGCAAATTACCAATTTAAAAACGCACCTAATTGAAAATGTGGGAATTAAAATCAAAACAGCCCCTAACAATAACAATCTAAAACTTTATGCCATATACTTTCCTGGTTTCACAGCAAAATGTCTGACTGCTTCATGTAATGTAGCTGGAGACCGAAATCACTTAAAGACACAATATAGATCAGACTTACTAAAAATTTCCAAATTGCAGGGGAATTTTATCGCTTGTGGTGATTATAACTCATGTCATAGAACATGGAACTGCGACAGAGCAAATTGCTGGGGTAACATTTTAAATGAAATATCAGATTTAGGCAAATTTAACGTGCTTTTCCCTTCCATTCAACTTATATTCCTAGATGTCATAAGGCTAAGGCATCCACAATAGATCTTTGCATTACCAAAACTCCAAATCAAGTTTCAAATCCAACAGTCTTACAGAACCTATCCTCTGATCATTTGCCTATAATCTTAAAATATTCAATAAATTTCTTACAAAATGAGAAACACCAACCGATAATTAGTAAAGCAAACTGGACTAAGTTTAAGGAATTTATCAATGACAGATTGCTAGATATAGGAATAAGTAAATATAAATCTTGTTGTTCGATCTCAGACATTGACTTCCTGGTCAACTCGTTCACAAATATTGTCAACGATGGTTTTCGTGAAGCAGTTCCCCATAAAAGACAAACATTTACAAATTACAAGATACCTCATCATATACGCGAGTTATTTAAAATTAGAAACACAATTCAAAGACAATGGATTAGGTCAAGACAGCCGATACTTAAAGCTAGATGTGATCATCTTAACTATGTTATTCAACAAAAGTTATTTGCTCATAATAACACAGAGTGGAACAGTAAACTGCAACAGATAGGAAAATGTAGTAAGCCCTTTTGGAAGATAACAAAAGCTTTAAAAAAGAGAAAACAATTTATACCCTGTCTCTGCCTTGGCGACTCAAGCTATGAGACTGGAACTGAAAAAGCAAACGTACTCGCAGACATTTTTGAACAGAAACATAAATTAACAACTTCCTTCTCAAATCCAGAAACTGTTAACCTAGTTCAATATTCCATTCAGTCAATTGCAAATTATGATATTAATACCTCTCAAGTATTAAAAACTACAAACTCTGAAATTTCCAGCATAATCAAAGCACTAGTAACACGTAAATCACCTGGAGATGATGGTATTTCAAATATCTGCTTAAAAAACCTCCCTGTTTATGCCATTAGCTTTCTAGTACAAATCTTTAATCATTGTTTTTCCGTTGGATATTTTCCAAATGCATGGAAAACAGCCAAAATAATACCGATTGTTAAACCAGGCAAACTAGCCAGCAGACCTGATAGTTACAGACCGATTAGCTTATTATGTAGCATATCCAAAATATTTGAAAAAATAACCAAAGCTCGAATAGTTAGTTATTTAGATACACACGAAATACTGCCTTCCATACAATACGGATTCAGGACCAAACTAAACTGCACAGTTCCTTCCGTAAAACTCACAAATTACATAAAAGAAAATATGCAAAATAAAAAATCTGTTGGACTGGTTACCTTAGATATTGAAGCGGCTTTTGACACAGTTTGGCACGATGGCTTGGTGCACAAGTTAAAGAATATGGAATTGCCCCCATACCTTATAAAAATTGTACATAGTTTTATAACACAAAGAAGTTTTTATATATGGGCAATTCCATAGACACGCACGCGACAATCGTACGCGTTTAAAGTGCAATAAAAAAGAAGTATTGGTTTTTTTCACCCAATGTTTTCAGTGTTTAAGAACCTTAATACTGAACTATTTTTGGTAAAAAATTTGAGGGCTGGCGATGAAAGGTTCCTGAGATATGAGCAAACATTGTGTGGAACGCACGCGACAAAAAACGGAAGTGGCTTTTTTTTAAGTCCACTCAAGCTCAGAATTCAGCGAATTGGCTTGATATTTTTTTATGCGGTCTTTTACAAAATTAGGGGACATATGTACCTTTCTTTCGATAAATGAGTCATTAAAAAAGATTAGGTAGTTTATTTTTAAGAAATTAAAGTTTGGAACGTTACGCGACAGAACGCACGCGACAAAAATTTCCCTAGTACTATATCACATTAAAAACAAGTCCTATGAAAAGAAATCAGTTTTATTATATTTAAAAAAAAAAGAATTAAGTATTTTTAATAGTTTCTGATTAAATCTCACAAAAATGTTAATATCAGGCGACTTTAAAAAGCAGTCTGTGCTGCTTTTGTTAATATTTTCGATCACATGTTAAGTGATGCAATTTATGAAGTCCATAAATACTTGGGACTTTCCTCCATGTTTTATTTAAGAGTGGTATATACTCGTCAACATCCTTTGTTGAAATATATAGTAGTTCAACACTATTTATATGCTGTTTTGCGCATTCATAAAATGCATAAGCGTCTTTTTGTACTAAATGTTCGGCTTTTACAACTTGCCAAACTTTCATTTTTAAAACAGCACCTACCTGAAACAGCACCTGGAGTAATCTATAAATTTTATGAATAATTTTATATACACAGCTCATCAATGTAGAAAAAATTATAATTTTTTACTTACATTGGGAACGCACGCGACACACTTAATGTATTAAAAACCTTAACAAGTTCTCACCGTAAAAATATGGAAAAATATTTTTTAGTTTTTAGGCTATAAACTCTGTTTAGAAATAAATTTTCAACCACTTTCAATTATCGACACCGATGTAATGATAATAAATGCTCCAAATACGGAACGCACGCGACATTGAAATTAGCGAAATATAAATTAAAACGTAAGCTAAGATTATGCATTCCTTATCTTCCCGTGTATTTTTTTTCTTCTCTTTTTCTCTGAGATAGATAAAAACGCATTGGCATAAGCATAGTTGATCTCTATTTAGAATAATGAATTAAAAAGGAAAGCCATCAAAAATGTTGCGAAATGAAAAAATGTACATGTTGAACTTTAGGCCCACGTATTTTGCCATTAGAATATATTTGAGTCTGAAACTGTTTAATATATAAAAATTTAACTATTTCTTAGTTTAAAAAAGTTTATACAATATGGATTTATTATCATTTAATTTTTCGTTCACGGTTGACCTTTCTGTGGAATTGCCCATATCCTTAAATGGAGAAAAGTCCACTCAACGCTCTATACTAGCTGGGGTACCTCAGGGATCGGTGTTAGGACCAGTGTTGTTTATTATATACACGCACGACATTCCCCATTTGACAAATTGTAAGTTATCATTATTTGCTGATGATGCAGCTATTTACACTTCCGGCGTATTATACAATGATATTAAATACATCATTCAAAATTATCTCTACAAACTAGAAGAATATTACCACAAATGGAAGATAAAAATTAATCCTAAAAAGACACAAGCCATTTTTTCACGAAACGAAGAAAATCTTGTTATTTACCAAATGATTGTCTAGAACTATGCAACACACCAATTGAGTGGGTTAACAATATTCGCTATTTAGGAATACATTTTGATAAAAAACTCACTTTTAGTACACATGTTGGGGTCACAATAGATAAAATAAACCAAACAATACGAATATTATACCCTATAATCAATAGAAAATCTAAATTATCAATTGAAAACAAGTTAATCATTTTTAAGGTAATATTCAGGCCAGCCTTGATGTATGGACACTCCATTTGGGGAAAATGTGCACAAACACATATTAAGAAAATACAAACGTGCCAAAATAAACTTCTAAAACTATTACTTAATCTACCATATTACACAAGCACTAAATACGTGCATGAAATGTCTGGAGTCCAAACGGTACAACAATATATTTCACAATAAACTCTCTTAGTCAGTAAAAGTAGTATAATTAGTAAATAAGTGTCAGATCAAGGTTTTTAATCCAATTTTTCCTTGAAATAATTTTATGTTATAAATAACCAAACGAATAAAATACTATAATATATTTCAGTTGAAAAGCATATGCTATAACTCTGTAAAAATAAAATTTGTAACATTAGCTTTAATGAAATTTATAAATTTTTAGGAAATAAAGCACACAGAATAAATAAATAAATAAATTAATTTATACGAAATAATATATTTACCTCTTTCTGATGACTGCTGAGTTGGCTCACTTTCATGAATTGTAGTATCAAAGCTTTGATGATCCTGGCTGTATATAGCTTTTATATGATCATTTGCCATGTAGTTGTAATTATTATCGTCCAAAAGGTCGTCTCCAGCTTCGTCTTCGGAATCGGAAAGTAAAGTTTCGTTCATGACCTCTGGTTGCATCACCTTGTATTTTGCTTCTACTACGCCAGCAGTTGTATTAAGCGAAGATGTGTGTGTTATTACCTTAAGTGTTTCCACTGCAGTTACAAACCCAAAATGATTTGCAATATTTAAAGCGCTTTTACCATCCTAAAGAACAATTGAAATAAAATGTGATAAGAAATTATTATAAGTAACTCATATGTAATTGATAAATTAGTAGTAATAATAAGTGTGCATCATAATGAAAAAGCTATTTCCGATCCGGACACGATTTTTTAATAATAATAATAATTAATTTTCAATAATTTTTCGTTTTACTAAATTCATAATCCAATCAAGGAAATTACAAAATTTTAAAATCACCTTAACATTGCCGTCTCTATAAGTGCGGGTTCTACGGCATATTGCCAGGCCGCGTCGTGGAACCCGCTGTAAATATGAAAATATTTGAGAGCGGGTTCCACAATAGAGGTGGAGAAACATCGATGCCAACATCGATGTCATCGATGTTTTCGAAACATCGGTAACATCGATGTTTTACCGGGCAACATCGATGTTTTTCCATCTCTAAAGCACTTCGAAGAAGATTGACGAATAACTTGTAAGTATATCAGAGGTCGGCACGGCCCTATCTCGGGGGCATAGGAAATTTCTCTGCCCGAGCTCTGCCACACACACACAGTATACATGTGTGAAACGTCATGCACACAGCCTACTTTCTGCTATTCGTTACTAACACTAATGCGGTAAAATCATATCAATGTATTGGGGTGCCGATCCCTGAAGTATATCATTTTATTACATTATTTCATTATAAATTACTAACAGAATATTTTAAATTTAGTGATATTTGTTGGTGGTGTTGGCGTGAGTGCGGAGGCGATTAGACATGGACAGATTTTTGAAAAGTAAGTATTAAAAAGCCAAGATTTTATCACGAATTTATGCACGTGCACATGTATACATACATACATACGTTCACATACACATTCGTGCACTCATTTTTACTTTTGCATTGAACTGTGGTTGTACTTTTGCATTAATATGGCATATTTTTATAGGAACAACAAACAAGCAGCCACGATCGGATGAGGAGCCAAAGAGGAGGAAGCGTGATGTTTCTATGGCTTGGGATCATTTGGATCAGGAAGGACAACTCATAAGTGACCGACGGACTCGGCTATCATCGACCGTTGTCGACAAACTTTTATTCCTTAACAAAAACAACAAGAAAGCAAAGCTAACTTCGGGCGGAGCCGAAGTTGATATACCCTTGCAGCTAAAACCGGATATATATCGCAAACATCGGATATAGTTGGCCGATCCTTATGGGAATATGAATATATAATCCAATTTATTACAATACAAAATCTAAAACAAGTCCCAAACTTCTATTTTTAACAATACCAAAGTTGGTATTTCTACCAAAAACCATTTCCGATCGTACAGTTATATGTCAGCTATAAGATAAGATATAGTCAACCGATCGTTATGAAATTTGGTAGATCGGATAAACTGACCAAAAATAGAATGTGTACCAAGTGCCAGCTTTCTATCATCAAAAACACGAAAGTTGGGTCATTTCCGATCGTTCAGTTATATGGCAGCTATAGGATATAGTCGACCGATCCTTATAAAATTTGGCATGTCGTATTAGGTTGCCAAAAAAAGCTCTCACCTAAAACTTGAACTCTCTAACTTTAAAAACACCAAAGTTATACCATTTCCGATCAATCAGTTATATGGCAGCTATAGGATATAGTCGGCCGATCCGGACCGTTCCGACTTATATACTGCGTGCAAAGAAAAGAAGGGTGTGTGCAAAGTTTCAAGACGATAGCTTTAAAACTGAGAGACTAGTTTGCGTAGAAACAGACAGACGGACAGACAGACAGACAGACGGACAGACGGACATGCTCATATCAACTCAGGAGGTGATCCTGATCAAGAATATATATACTTTATAGGGTCGGAGATGTCTCCTTCACTGCGTTGCACACTTTTGACCAAAATTATAATACCCTCTGCAAGGGTATAAAAATATAAATAATATGTAAATATGTATATATGTATGTATATAATAGTAAAGTAAGAATACTATAGAAGAAAACGTAGTATAAGGTTAGAATAAGGAAAGTGGGACGTATATAACAATTTGTTTTTATCTTTCTAAGTTTTGTTTTTATTTTATATTTTTATAATAAAAAGGATAATTTTGTTTATGTTGGAAATTATACACTTTTTAAACTTTAATACAACTTCAAATGAACCAAAAGCACTTAAATTTGTTTTTTATTTAAAACATCGATGTTTCATCGATGTTTTGCGCCAAAAACATCGAAAACATCGATGTCCGCGAACATCGATGTTTCTCCACCTCTATTCCACAACCAACGCTTGGCAGATAAGAAAGGGAAAGATAGAATTCTATTGATAGAACGTAACATTTTTGGAACGATGAAAGTTTGAACGTTCGCATTAACCCAATGTGAGACTATAGAAAATGAGAGATCGACCCCCACTGTTTTAAAGTTATCGAGTTGGGATTCTGTTTTTTGCAAAATAATACGACATACCAAATTACTTTTGTGTTTTTCAAGATAGAAGGTTAGAAGTTCATACAGATCCTATTCTTGCCAATTGATCTAGCCTACCCAGTTTCATCAGAATCGGTCGACTATAATCTATAGCTGCTATATAACTGAACAATCGGAAATGGTATTTGGTAAAAATACAAACTTTGGTTTTTTTTGAGAGAGAAACTTGGGACGTTTTTTTTAAATGTTGTATTAAAATAAATTTGATTTATTATGAAATTCTAATAAGTATCGTCCAAATTTTTGCGTTATTTTCGATTCATAACAGATTTTAGCTGCAAGGGTATATCAACTTCGGCTCCTCGAGAAGATAGCTTTCCTTGTAAGCAAAGAAGAAGCAATCACTAATTATGTTCATTGTCTATTATACATGTACATGGTAATGAGATATTGTTAAATCCTTGCAGAGTGTATTATAATTTTTTCCAAAAGTGTGCAACTCCTCTCCGACCCTATAAAGTATATATATTCTTGATCAATATCGCCTCCTGAGTTGATATGAGCATGTCCGTCTGTTTCTACGCGAACTAGTCTTTCAGTTTGAAAGCTATCGACTTGAAACTAATGATTCTACTTTTGGTCAGTTAACCCGACCTACTAAATTTTATAACGATCGGCCGACTATATCTTATAGCTGCCATATAACTGAACGATCGGAAATGGTTTTTGGTAGAAATACCAACTATTGAAGTATTTTTTTAAAATAGAAGCTTGAGACTTTATTTTAGATATTTTATTGTAATTAATTGGTTTTATTATGGTATTCTCATAAGGATCGAACAACTATATCGAACAACCGATGTTTGCGATATATTTCCGATTTTAGCTGCAAGGGTATATCAACTTCGTCTCCGCCCGAAGTTAGCTTTCCTTTCTTGTTTTAACATATTTTCAAAACAAAACTAGGGGCTTATCCCAGGTTTCGAAGATTAGGGTTAAGTTACAAATTTATAAGACCATAGTGCCGCCAGCTTGGTCTTTAAAAAAGTTCTAAAAATGGTACCATCTTTCGAAAAATCTCACATTGCACCTAAATTTCTAAAGCTGTCTCGTGCTTGTTTTCGCGAATTCTGCACACTTCTATATTCATGCTTATTCATTCATTATTCGTGCTCAACTCCCTGCTTTAACGAACCGTCTAGTCAAAAATTTCATATATTGTGTCTATATTGTGTCAAAATTTCAAGTCAATTAAAGCAAAATTGACGAAGTTGCTTGCAAACGTTTTACACTGGATTTTTTTTGTGTTTAAAACTTTAAAGCGTTTTTCCCACAACTCACGTTTTCAAAGTCGGTGCCCCTCATAACTTCAAAACTACTGCACCGATCCTTTTGAAATTTTAAACACCATTTCTGTACATATTTTACGAGGTAACGCTGTCGAGTTTTTTTTTTTGTTCATAATTTTGATTTTGCAATGACAAATTAACCGATTTTTTCCCAAAAAATTGAGTTTTTCACTTCAAAGTCTTCGAAAAAATTAAAAAATTGCAATTTTCAAAAAACCTTTACAGCGTTACCTGGGGCGAACTATTATCTAACGAATGAATTTTCATTTTTTGATTACAAACGATCCAGCACCGAGTTATGAGGGGCACCGCAATTCAACTTTTTTTGGCGACACGTCCGGACAATTGCTACCATTGCCATATTTTTTAAATACTTTTTTGTAAAAATTTTATTAAACATTCTTCTAATGTCATACTTTAATATAGCGTTGGTTGAATAAATAAATTTTAACTGTGTCGTCAGGAAAAAAATCACAAAAACATGGCTTTTTTCGCATGATTTGACCTTACCCTCCCCTTAATGGCTAAAGGAGTCCATTGTTTTATTAAAAGAATTTAATAACCCGCATATAACCAAAACATTATTCATTTCTTTGGTCCGTCCGATACTGAAGTACGGTTCATGTGTTTGGTCCCCAATAGTCCCCAATATAGACTACATCAGGACCGCATAGAATCCGTACAAAGGAATTATAAATTTCCTTAATAATTCCTCTAAGCTTAATAAATTACAACTAGCATAATATATATACTATATAGTATATAAATAGTATACTATACTATTTATTCGTTTCTCGAGCGCCCCTCGGTTATCTGGGAATACAGAAATGCTATCTGATACCATAATTGATGCACAAGCCATTTCAAAAATTCTGAAAGACCGCGAAGAAGATTTCGCGGATTTGAAGATTATTTTTTTTCAAAAGCTACAACATTTAACTATTAAAAAACGTCGGAAATTCTAAAATCCGCTTAAAAATACGCGTTAAGGAATTTTTAAGAGCAAAAAAGTTCAGAAAAACCTTTTTTTCTGAATAAATCAAGATTTTGAGGGTTAAACTTAATAACCTAATAAACAATTCCTACTAGGTCTCTTCAAAAGTTACAAATCACGGTCGCACTGTGTAATACATGAATTGTCCGAAAGGTAAGTTATAGTTTTAGTGTTTTTCGCGAATGTATAATTTAATCTCTTATACTTATGGATTTAGCCCGTTTTTATTATTTTCGTAGTATTTTTGATTTGTGTTCTTGTGATTTTTAGTTACTTAACATTGTAAAGTTTACAAAATTTTTTTAGCGCCAAAAGTTTGTTTCAGAAATATTAGGTAACTACCTGCTCAGCCCGGCTTCGCCCGGCTACTGTTTTGTTTTAGGGTCCGTAATAATATTTTAGTATTAGTAGTATTTTTTTTCTTAAGATTTTGATGCATTAATGCAATTTCTGTTCCGAAGGCAAAATTCGACGTTTATGTGTGCTTTATATGCCTTGCACATTAATGGCGAAAACGGAACAACCCAACGATCATCATTTTCAATGTCCTGTTGATTTACTTTGACTATTGTTGAATTTCCATTATCATCAATGGATTGCCGGAGATACTATTCAAATGGATATCCATCATTTCCAGTAATAGTTTCTGCTACTAACTGTTTTGGGTAGCGTTATGAACATTTTCCTTCAACCATACACGGATAAATGGGATTTAATATTCCACATGGACCATGTATCACATTTTTATACCCTTGCAGAGGGTATTATAATTTTGTCCAAAAGTGTGCAACGCAGTGAAGGAGACATCTCCGACCCAATAAAGTATATATATTCTTAATCAGGATCACCTTCTGAGTTGATATGAGCATGTCCGTCTGTTCGTCTGTCTGTCTGTTTCTACGCGAACCAGTCTCTCAGTTTTAAAGCTATCGACTTGAAACTTTGCACACACCCTTCTTTTCTTTGCACGCAGTATCTAAGTCAGAACGACCGTGATCAGCCGACTATATCCTATAGCTGCCATATAACTGATTGATCGGAAATGGTATAACTTTGGTGTTTTTAGAGTTAGAGAGTTCAAATTTAACACGAGAGCTATTTTTGCCAAATATTACGACATGCCAAATTTCATAGGGATCGGCCGACTATATCCTATTGCTGCCATATAACTGAACGATCGGAATTGACCCAACTTTTGTGTTTTTGAAGATAGAAAGCTGGAACTTGGTACAGATTATATTTTTAGTCAGTTAATCCGACCTACCAAATTTTATAACGACCGGCTGACTATATCTTATAGCTGCCATGTAACTGAACGATCGGAAATGGTTTTTGGTAGAAATACCAACTTTGGTATTTTTGAAGATAGAAGTTTGGGACTTTTTTTATATTTTATATTATAATAAATTGGATTATATTATCATATTCTCATAAGGATCGGCCATCCGATGTTTGCGATATATATCCGGTTTTAACTGCAAGGGTATATCAACTTCGGCTCCGCCCGAAGTTAGCTTTCTTTTCTTGTTTGTAATAACCTCATGTAACAGTGGGTCTTCATTATTATCGGGAATTTCTGCTGATATCACATTAACAATTTCATTTGGTCTTATCGTTTCAACCAACCAAATGAGAATATGTGCAAATGAACAAATGAGGGCAACCCGCGTTTTTGCCACTCAACAGAGTACATCCAACAGCGCGTCTCGCCGAACACGCAATGCTTAACAATGATATCCACGAGTGATTTTAATTTTATTTTGAACACCCTTGCAGTGATATCGTGGCGATCAATATTTGATTGTCTATTAAATAATTCTTGTTGACTTTCTGTCCACTTTGAATTGCCTTTAAACAAATCTGGTGTGCCATAATGTCGTACATAGGAAATCGCATCTTGCGCATATTGATGCCTATGTCGCGGAATTCCGACGTATGTTGCTGGGAGAATAGTTGTTCTGCCAACATTCTATGCATTTCCATCAGCATTAATGGCATCCCGAAGATGAATGTATTTCTCGGAACGGAGTTTTGCCTGGTTCAACCTAATAAATGTCAATCGTTCAGTTTCAATTGTCACATACATACAGTAGCGGACAATGAAATCCGGACCGCGTGTTATTATATCGAGGTGTCATTTTTTCATTATATCCGGAAGGTACTAGGTTTCATGATCTGAAAGCATTTTTTAAATTATTAAACTTCTTTTGTTAAAATTTTTTTTTTTAAATATGTTGAAATTGACTGAAAATGTCCAAGGGGCCATGTTGCCCTTACAACCGAACATCTTAAGCTTTCTAGGAATAAGCTCTAACTTTGGATTTATTAAGTCTTCTTTTGAGGATTTCCTACCTAATTTAGAGAAAACCAGAACTCTTGCCAGGACCAGGAAAGAAAAAGAAGACTAACTACCACGACGATCGAATCTTTTCATCGGTGTCAAAATATTTGTTTCCCAATACAGTAAAAAGAAATCCGAACTTATTTATTTATTATCCGAACTTAGTTGTTATATCTTACCTATACCTATAACCTATAATACCCTCTAATTTTGTCAAAAAGTGTGCAACGCAGTGAAGGACAATCTCCGACCGTATAAAGTACATATATATATTTTTGATCAGGATAAAATTAAAATTCTGATCAGATTTAAAATTTTTTTTATAGTAATTCATTGGTTTTATTATGATATTCTAATAAGGATCGACCAACAATATCCGATGTTAGTGATGTATATCAGGTTTTAACTGTAAGGGTATATCAACTTCGGCTCCGCCCGAAGTTAGCTTTCCCTTCTTTTTTTATTATTAAAATATTACACTTTTATAGAATATAAGATCGGAGATAAATCTTTCAGTGCTTTATAAGAATCTGAACAAAATAACAAATCCTATAAAATATGTATAATTGTAACATTTATTGTAGTACTTACGTGTGTTAAAGCATCCGGATTTGCTTTGTGGCGTAGTAGAAGATTTATTATCATTATATGTCCTTGCTGCGCTGCTTGATGAAGAGGAGTATAACCAATATTCGTACTGATTTCAATGTTAGCATCGTTTTCAATCAGTAATTTCACAAGGCTTAGATGTCCGTAATGTGCTGCAATATGCAATGGTGTATAGCCATTATTGGTGCGCTCGGAAATTTCAGCACCATGGTCCAAAAGAACCTGTGAAACAAGGGTATGACCCTCTTGGGCAGACAAATGTAACGGAGTCAATCCGTTTTTAGAATGGGTATTTTTCCCACCACTTTGAAGAAGTAATTTTACCATATCAATATATCCTTCTTGGGCTGCCAAATGCAATGGTGTATATCCATTTTTACTAATGGACCCTACATCAGCCTTATTATCCAATAGATGTCGAGCTATTTCCAAGTGGTTTCTTTTAGCCGCAATATGAAGAGCACAATGCCCATTTCGGGCACTGATGTTGGGATATGCTCCATCAGCCAACATCTGCTCTACAATATGCTGATGCCCGTAGTGAGTGGCTATAAGCAAAGGGGTAACATCGTTTTTTCCCAGAAAATCAATGGATGCTCCGTGTTTAACAAGTAGTGATACAAACTCTTTGTGGCCATATTTACTAGCTAAATGAAGAGGAGTAAATCCTTTATTGGTCACAGGATCAAGAAAAGCACCATATTCCAAAAGAATTTGTGCCACGTCTTTCCGGTTTTCTTTTGCTGCAATGTGTAGAGCAGTGTACTTCTCTTTTGTTTCTGCGTTAGCTATAGCTCCATGTTGCAACAATAATTTTATAATACTCATGTTACCCAATCTAGAAGCAACGTGTAATGGTGTTTGTCCTTCACGGGCTATAATATCAACGTTTGCTCCATTACGAAGTAAAATACGAATTATGTCTGTCTAAAATATAAAATTTTCTTTACTATATACATTTATTTTTATATAAAATATATATTACGTTCAAGTTACCTGGTTAGCTCTTGCTGCCAAATGTAAAGAAGATTCTCCGCGGATGGTTTGTTTATTCGGGTTAGCGTTGTGCTTCAGCAAAAATATTACAATATTTATGCACCCTAAAAAGAATAAATGTTTTATACAAATATTAGGCTTTTTAAACTCAATAAGGAATGGCAAGAAATTTTTTGTTAATGAAACAACAAGAAAGGAAAGCTTTATATACTTGAGAAGTTGATATATCCTACTTGGAGTTAAAAAAGGATACGTACCGTAAAAATTACTGTACCGTAAAATTCAACCAATTTATTACCACAAAAAATCTAAGTGGTATCGTGGATAAGATTTATTTCCCCCTTTATGTCTGTTCTAAAAGAAATTTGCATATTTATCTTTAACTGCTTTTCAATATTGTTAATGAAACAACAAGAAAGGAAAGCTTTATATACTTGAGAAGTTGATATATCCTACTTGGAGTTAAAAAAGGATACGTACCGTAAAAATTACTGTACCGTAAAATTCAACCAATTTATTACCACAAAAAATCTAAGTGGTATCGTGGATAAGATTTATTTCCCCCTTTATGTCTGTTCTAAAAGAAATTTGCATATTTATCTTTAACTGCTTTTCAATATAGTGAACTATCTTTTCCCTCAGTCCGCCTAATTGGTCGGTACCAATACCTATATTATTTATTTGATTTTTGATGGTATTTACTTCGTCGGCACTCTCAGGATTTTTAATTCCCTAGATATTTGTATTTTTATTGACGGATATTTCAACGTCGGCGTTCTCAGGATTTTTAATTCCCAAGATATTTATATGTTTGTTGACGAATATTTCTACGTCGGCGTTCTCAGGATTTTTAATTCTCAAGATATTTTTATTTTTATTGACGGATATTTCTACGTAGGCGTTCTCAGGATTTTTAATTTCCAAGATATTTTTATATTTATTGACGGATATTTCTACGTAGGCGTTCTCAGGATTTTTAATTCTCAAGATAACTCAAGATATTTTTATTTTTGTTGATTTCTACGTCGGCGTTCTTGGGATTTTTAATTCCCAAGCTTTTCTCACTATTTTCAACAAATAATGAATCTGTGTTTTCGCTACTATTATCATCAAAATATTTTTTTATAATAAATTCTTTTAACGGAAGAATATTATTTTCTTCAATTAAACATATTTCATTTTTTTCCTCATTATCATAATATTTTAACTTCTCCTGTTTCCCATTATATTCCAAGATTCCCTTATCTATATTTATTATAGCTCCAATTTTTGTTATTAAATTGAATCCAATTAGAATATCAGATTCTAATCCTTCAAATTTATAAAATAATGGTCTTGTTTCAAATATATTTATAATATGTTAATACCTAATAATTGAGTAGCCATGAACTGTTGTTATCTTTTTGTATTTAACAAGCAGTGGCTCCTGTAACTATTAAAATGTTTATCTGCTTCTTGGTTTTTGGTCTATCCTATTTAAGGATGTAGTCTCATGTTCCGGCCTAATTTTTAAAGGTTTTTTTAAAAACATTTTTTTGGAATAAAAAATAATGCGATTGTTTCTATTTTGAAATATGTTTTTATAGGCATCATAAACTATTTGAAAATATTTTGTTTAATTTATTCTTGTGTAGTTTAATACACTTTATAGCATGCCAAAGTATGCATATAAAAAAGAAGGTAGGTGCCTGGCGCAGGTGATTTCGACTGTTAGAGTCATTCGAAACAAAAAATTAGAATAGATTATTATTTTGTAAGCTTATGGCTCTGTCCCGTACTAGAATGAAATATTTTCATCAATAAAGAACAAAATGGCAAACTCACAAAACAAAACATTAAACAAAATTTATCCTAAATTAATGATAAAAAAAAACTAATTAAAAATAAATGATTCTAGTACGGGACAGAGGTGTTACTTTTTAGAACCACATATCCAAATTTCAGCTAGATCGGTACCATAGAATTTTGTGAATCACCTGCGCCGCACACAAAAATGTCGTTCCGAGAAAAACGCGTTTAAAGTTTAAACGCTACCGAGTAACTCATACTATTCGGTGTAGGCACGCTCTCGATTATGGGATGTATCTCTGTCATTATTTGATATTTATACCCTTGCAGAGGGTATTCTAATTTTGGTCAAAAGTGTGCAACGCAGTGAAGGAGACATCTCCGACCCTATAAAGTATATATATTCTTGATCAGGATCACCTCATGAGTCGATATGAGCATGTCCGTCTGTCTGTCTGCTTCTACGCGAACCCGTGTCTCAGTTTTAAAGCTATCGTCTTGAAACTTTGCACACACCCTTCTTTCCTTTGCACGCAGTATATAAGTCGGAACGGCCCGGATCGGCCGACTTTATCGTATAGCTGCCCTATAACTGATTGATCGGAAATGGTATAACTTTGGTGTTTTTAAAGTTAGAGAGTTCAAATTTGACACGAGAGCTATTTTTGGCAACACATAACATGCCAAATTTCATAAGGATCGGCCGACTATATCTTATAGCTGCCATATAACTGAACGATCGAAAATGACCCAACTTCCGTGTTTTTGAAGATAGAAAGCTGAAACTTGGTACAGATTATATTTTTAGTCAGTTAATCCAACCTACCAAATTTTATAACGACCGGCTGACTATATCTTATAGCTGCCATGTAACTGAACGATCGGAAATGGTTTTTGGTAGAAATACCAACTTTGGTATTTTTGAAGATAGAAGTTTGGGACTTTTTTTATATTTTATATTATAATAAATTGGATTATATTATCATATTCTCATAAGGATCGGCCATCCGATGTTTGCGATATATATCCGGTTTTAACTGCAAGGGTGTATCAACTTCGGCTCCACCCGAAGTTAGCTTTGCTTTCTTGTTTATAACAAATTTCAACTTCTGTTGAGGAAAACTTAATGAAGGTCGCCTCGGCCCGCAAAAAGCGAATATTTGTGGTAAACTATGGTTCGTCTAGTTTACGGGTGTCGGAACGGCCCGGATCGGCCGACTTTATCGTATAGCTGCCATATAAGTGATTGATCGGAAATGGTATAACTTTGGTGTTTTTAAAGTTAGAGAGTTCAAATTTGACACGAGAGCTATTTTTGGCAACACATAACATGCCAAATTTCATAAGGATCGGCCGACTATATCTTTTAGCTGCCATATAACTGAACGATCGAAAATGACCCAACTTTCGTGTTTTTGAAGATAGAAACTTCCCTCTCTTTCTTTCAAGCGAACGGTCGTGTTTTTTTGTGCGCACTGCGTTTTATTAAAAATATTGGTAAACCAATATTTTTGGTTTGGTAAAATTGGTAAACCAATACCGGATATATACTGCTCTCTCCAGAGCTTTTCCCCTTTCATCCCCAGAGGATCCATATCACCCCACACTGGAGGTCTCAATCGAAACCACTCCTGGTATCGATCAGATGTCTCCGAGCGTGGTAAATAAGATTCGCTGTTTCCGTAAAGCTGATTTTCAGAAACTTAATAGCCTTATTGATACATTTGACTGGTCTGATATTCTGGCGTGCACTGATCTTAATGTCACTTTAGAAAAATTTTATTTTACTTTAAATAAATTTTTTGACTCATGTGTGCCTTGGAAATATCCGTCCGCTTCAACAAATCCTCCTTGGTTTACAAGGTGCCTTACTAACTTAAAAAATAAAACAAATAAGCTTTTACTTAAATATAAAAAAACCTGCAGTAGTGTTGATTTCTCAAGATACCTACTAGCTCGGTCGAATTTTACCGTGCATAACGCTGAATGTTATAGGAATTATATTGACCGCTGCCGGATATATTGATAGCTGCCATGTAACTGAACGATCGGAAATGGTTTTTGGTAGAAATACCAACTTTGGTATTTTTGAAGATAGAAGTTTGGGACTTTTTTTATATTTTATATTATAATAAATTGGATTATATTATCATATTCTCATAAGGATCGGCCATCCGATGTTTGCGATATATATCCGGTTTTAACTGCAAGGGTGTATCAACTTCGGCTCCACCCGAAGTTAGCTTTGCTTTCTTGTTTATAACAAATTTCAACTTCTGTTGAGGAAAACTTAATGAAGGTCGCCTCGGCCCGCAAAAAGCGAATATTTGTGGTAAACTATGGTTCGTCTAGTTTACGGGTGTCGGAACGGCCCGGATCGGCCGACTTTATCGTATAGCTGCCATATAAGTGATTGATCGGAAATGGTATAACTTTGGTGTTTTTAAAGTTAGAGAGTTCAAATTTGACACGAGAGCTATTTTTGGCAACACATAACATGCCAAATTTCATAAGGATCGGCCGACTATATCTTTTAGCTGCCATATAACTGAACGATCGAAAATGACCCAACTTTCGTGTTTTTGAAGATAGAAACTTCCCTCTCTTTCTTTCAAGCGAACGGTCGTGTTTTTTTGTGCGCACTGCGTTTTATTAAAAATATTGGTAAACCGGTGTTTACATACTTGTGAATCTTAACCCTTTTAAAGCCTAAACCGTATCGCTTCGCGAGTGCTGTGGTATATTTGGAGTCGAATTAATAATTTTCCTAAATTCTATTCCAAGCATAGCTCAGCTCTGCTTCTTCGCCGCCTTATCTGTATTTCTGCATTTCTCTTTTGCACTCTTTCAAAGCTCCCGCTTCGGCTTCTTGTTTGGCACAGTGGTTCAAGGTATTGTGTTTTTTAACTTTTTAAATATTAATTTTTGTTTTATTAAATCATTAAGCATCCATTGCTGGTTATGTGAAAACGTCGTGCACGCCAAGTGTGCCGGTTTCACTGCATCAGTTTCGGATGCCATTTCCCGTAGGTCTGGGATACATTATTGTTGTGAGAATTGTCGTGCTGTGCAAGGCGAAATGAGGTCGTTCATGAGACAGACCAAAAATGGATTTAAAGAGCTGATCACTGGTTTTCGTAAAATCAATGAACAGGTCTGTGCGCTGGACACTCAGTTTAGTGGCCTTCAGCTGCTAAATGAGTCCCCTAAGCGTAAGAAATCCGCTGTTTCTGATCCGCCTCAGCCGACATTAATGCAGCCGCTTATATCTCTGGCCACCCCAAGGGCTAGAACTGAGAAAAATTCGTCCGAATTT